TAAGTTCTAAGATCTTAATTAATCAATAAAATTTACAAGCATATAAGCAATTTAAAAAAAAAAAAAAAAAAAAAAAAAAAAAATTATTTCTTATATTGAATTACCAACATTTTGAACCATCTTTAGTTTTAAGAATGAGACTTAAATAATTTATTCCTAATAGACAAGTCTTTTCATAACGCATAATTACATAGTTTAGCTAAGTTACAAAATATATACAATATGAAAAAAATTAGTAAATAAGAATTTATCATCCTAATATCTGACATATTTATAGCACAAAATAAACTAAATTAACAGTATTTGAAATAATTTAATAAAATAGTGCAGTTTTATAATAAATTACATGATTATATTTGTTTATTGTTTTTTTTTATATCGATTTACTACCATTTTGAAACATCTTTTAGTTTTAAGAATGAGACTTAGATAATTTATTATTTGATAGAAAGTCTTTTTATAATGCATAATTATATTACAAGATATATACAATATAAAAAAAAATTAGTCGAATAAGAATTTAGAATTAAAACTATTCTAAAGTAAAAGTTTTAAAGAATATTTTTTAGTTGTTAGTAAAAATATTTTTTACCAAATAAAGAACTCAAAAATTGCTAAACTAACTTATATTTTGTATAAAAATACGTATTAAATGATTATAGATCAAATTAATTAAATATATTTATATATACCAGATAACTGAATTGATTATAATTATTTATATCTAACTTAATAAATATTTAATTATCAAATTTTGATTAATTGTGAATATACCACAAAATTGAAAAGTATATAATTCTGACCCATTTTCATATTATTGATTACTAATATTCAATTATTTAAATTCACATAACTAACTATATGGATCAAAATACGTATTATTAAATAATCACAGTGATCTTGGGCGATTTTACACAAATACACATAAAATTACGTTTTTGACATGATCTTATACAGGTGCATCAAAATAGACCATCTTTTTGGTCAAAATGTAATTTTTCATCACTCGAATAGACAATAAGGATACTTCGCTACGCACCGGTCCGGATCCAATAATATAAATGCCATCATATGAAAAATTTTGATGTAACAACACTACACGGGGATCAAAAAATTCCATGTCGGAATACGTCGAAATACGTCGGGGAAAAATCCTTTTAAAATTTAGATGTTTTTTAACATTTTAAGCCAACATTTCTTAATGATACTTAACTAATTTTAGCGTATTTTTATTTATTTATTAATTAATTCTATAAGTTAATAGAATTAAAATAAAAAAAAATTTATCGAATTTAGTTGGATAGTCGTTGAGAAAACTTCGGTAAAGTTTGAAAGAAAGATTAAAAATCTTGAAAAAAAGCAAAAAAAGTGTAGTAAAATTTTTTTTATTCAACTTTAAGCTAAGTTTTCTCGATGTTTATCAATCCAAATTTGATGAAAATTTTTTTAATAATTCTACGTGTTTGTAGAATTGAATACAAATAAATTTATTAAGGTTTGTTATGTAGCCGCTGAGAAATATTTATTTTTTTAAAAAAAAATTTGTCGCAGCTTCTTTTTTATAGGCACTAAAACTTTATCCGAAGTTTTCTTGATGAATATCCAACCAAATTCTATGAATTTTTTTTTATTTTAATTATTTATGATAGATATTCATTGAGAAAACTTCGCTTAAAGTTTTAGTACCTATAAAAAGGAGCTGCGGCAATTTTTTTTTAAACTTTAAATAAATAGTTCTCAGTGACTACATAGTCAAATTCGATAAATTTTTTTATTTCGATTCTTCAAACACACAGAATTAAAATAAAAAAATTTTCATCGAATTTGATCATGTTTTCACCGAGAAATATTAATTTAAAGTTAAAAAGAATTATTATTTTTTTTTTTTGGACTCAAAATTTTTTAAGCTTTGAACTGATGAAATTTCTCGAAGACAATCAAATTTGATAAAATTTTTTTTATTTTAATTCTACGTTTTGTAGAATCGTAATACAAGTTTGGTTATGAAGTTATTGAGAAATATTTATTTAATGTTTAAAAAAAAAAATTTGCCGCAGCTTTTTTTTATGAATACTAGAACTTTAATCGAAGGTTTCAATGAATATCTAACCAAATTTGATATTTTCTTTTATTCTAATTTTGTAAACCTATAATTAAAATAAAAAGAAAACTTTGCTTAAAAGTTTAGTACCAATAAAAAAAGCTACGGCAAAAGTTTTTTAAACAATAAATTACTTCTCAGCAACTACATAACCAAGCTTGATAATTTTTTTTTTAGATTCTAGAATTAAAATAAAAAAATTCATCAAATTTGGTTAAATATTCGTTGAGAAATCTTCGCTTAAAGTTGAAAAAAAATATCTTACTACGGCTTTTTGATTTTCAGATTTTTAACCTTTTTTTCAAACTTTAAGCGAAGTTTTCTAAACAACTATCTAACTAAATTTGATGAACTTTTTTTTTATTTTAATTCTATTAACTTATAGGATCTAAATAAAAAAAAAATTCGCTGAAATTTGTTATGTATTCATCGAGAAATATTGGCTTAAAGTATTAAAAAAACCTCTAAATTTTAAAAGGATTTCCACGGATTTCGACACGGGATTCTTCTGTAAAAATTGATGTAACAGCGTACAAATATTAAATAGGCATTTAATATCCTCCGCTTACTCCGGGCAGTAAATCCACTATCTTCTATGAATCACTAGCCTATATAGATTTGATGTATTCGTAATTTACCATTTTTTTAAAATGATAATATTACCAAATGAATGCCTTTTTGAAATATTCAATAATCTCAAACACCGTTATGAAGGTCTATATTCGTGCCTTCTTGTAAACCGCCAATGGTGTAGAAATATAGTTCCAATATTATGGAGTGATCCATTATCATATTGTCAAGATTGGAAACTTGTGAGAATATATCTTTTATCATTGAGCGCTGAAGAAAAAGAATCATTGGTCCCATTAAGTATATCACTTTCAAATGAACAAAAACTATTATTTGAATATGCATCCTATGCTATATGGATTAACAGTTTTGATTTAGAAAGAGGGATTAAAAACTGGCTTAGTCATGAAGAAATTAAACCCTGTAACGATTTAGAATCTGAGAACGTGATTCAAAAAGTTAAAGATTCTTTAATTACAATGTTATTACGTACAAGTGAAAAAATCAAGTATGCATATATATATAAGGTCAGCAATAAACTATTAGTTAAAAGTCTATTGGAAATTCCTTATAAAAACACAACTATTACTTAATTAAATCTTTTTCGAGTTGGTTTTAGCTTCGAAGAAGTAAGAATTCTAGCAGATGTTCTTGGTAAAAATACTAGTTTAATTTCATTAGCACTTGCTGATTGTGGACTCGGTTTTAAAGAGGCAAAAGTATTATCAGAGGCCTTTTATGAAAATACAACATTATCTTCTCTTGATCTTCGCTCGAACAAAATTGGAGATGAAGGAATAAAAGCATTTGCGAAAGTTCTCTACAAGAATATCGCTCTAACTACTATATGCTTTCGTTGTAATCGATTTACTTTTGAAGGTGTAAAAGCACTTGCAGAGGCACTTTATAAAAATAACACATTAACCACTTTAAATCTTACTGGTAATGAACTTGGCATTAGAGGAGGCAAAGCAATAGCAGAAGCTCTTTGTAGAAATTTTGATCATCTTGACTCTTTATAATAATAATTTAAGTTTTGAGGGAACAAAAGCAATAATAGAAGCACTTTATAGAAATAATAATTTAATTTCTCTAAATATTGGAAGTAATAAAATTGGATTTGAAGGAGTAAAAGTGGTAGCAGAAGCTCTAAGTAGAAATATTGCCTTAACCTCTTTATCACTTTGCGGAAATCAATTTGATCATGTAATGATATTAGCAGAAGCACTTTGTAAAAACACAAATCTAACCTCCTTGTTTCTTTACAATAAGTCTAATAATTATTTTGATTCTGAGAGAACAAAAGAGATAGAAAAAGTACTTTGTGGAAATGTTACTTTAACTACTATACGTTTCCGTTATGGTAAAAGCATTATTAGAATTTCCGGTAACAAATTTTGAATAAACATATCGAACTGCAAATTTTAAATCACATAATTTAAAATAGCTGTTAAAAAGTGTTTAGGATTTTAAATTATAATAACAATTCTCGAATATTTACCGTATTTGCGCGTTATTTTGAAACTGCCATTTTTTAAATTGTTTTTTTTTGATTCAAAATAACGCCCGTGCACGTTCCAAAATAACGCTCCCCCCTTAAATATACCATATTACATATTTGATCGAATTTTCTGGCCAAGTTCATTAATAAAAGTAGGGCTTGGTCTAGTAACTCAAATTGTCAAAATGATTCGAAATACCGCGCATGCGCGTGCCGAAATAACACGTACACAGGTTGAACCAATGAATAACAGGTACATATCGGAAGACAAATCCCCGGTATGTACCCGTTATTCTACCACACATCCGCCAAATAACTGTAGCATATCGGTAGCATATTGGTAACATATAGGTTAGATAGATCGGTAACGGTAACATACCAGGACATCCCGATATCTTACTCTTATCCAAATAGTGATAAGAGTAAGATATCGGGATGTCCCAGTATGTTACTGTTATGTTACCGTTATCGATTTATCTCCCGATATCTAACCTATATGTTACCAATATGCTACCGATATGCTACAGTTATTTGGCGGATGTGTGGTAGATAGGGAAAGTGGCACAGCGGTCACGGGCATGCCAATGGCATACCAAAAGCCAAAATAGTAAAGAGGCATGCCACTCATGCTACTTATAAGTCTCGTAACAATAGACCAATCAAATTAAGCCAAATTTGAAATGGCATTCTATATGAATTATCATTATCTTCACTTTTTATGTCTCCCGCTTATAATAGAAAGAAGTATATTTTATTCTAATGCACATGTATTTATTTAGAGAATCTACTATAAGTTCTTTATACCTTGCTATTTATACACGTGTGTTTTATTTTATTTTTATCAGCCTGAACTTGTACATTCATATGTCTCGCACTACATTTCTTGTACGTACGTTCCAGACACTTTACTATTAATAATAGTATTGGGATCTTTTAAGATCTTTATAAATAAGCCTGACTTCGCTACATTTCTAACTATGATCAGTTTATTGTTGAAGAGCTTATAGTATTGATCAGTTAATTTTATTTGTAAAAGAGTGGTTTGATATATTCTTTCTCTCACCTTGGCAGGTATAAGTATAAATAAATTTTAACAAAAAAAAATTATCATATTCATTTTTTTTCAAAGGGTCAGATTCAAACAAGTTACTTTATTAATGTTAAGGTTCACTTTATATAAATTCAAGATAGAATCAATTGTAAAAATTCAAAAAAAAAAAACCAGTATCAGAGAAAAACATGTAAGTCTTAAGAAATATTTTATTCTGGCAAAAAAAATATATATATTTACTGCCCTATATTAATAAGAAAAAACTTTCTATATGCAATTAGAATTGAAAAAATATATTATCAATTGACCAATCTTCAATACTATTGATAGATCTTTGAGAATAAGCGGCTAAGTTTTCTTCACTTATTTCTATTTGATTCTGTTCAAATGAATTAATATTAAAAAAATTATTAATTGCTAACTCATTCTCATCATTCACCTCCATATTTACTTCTTCAACACTAATTTGTAAAAACTCTTCATCAAGTTCTTCGAAATAGGGATCATTATTGGCACCTTCAATATCATTATTGATTGAATCTTCAAAATCTTTATCGCTTCAGGTCTTTTTTTTAATATTTCAGTTAGGCCTTATTAAAGGTCATGACGAAGCATTTCAAGTATTCCAGTTAAATTGAGGAATATTCTAGATATTAGCTAAGTGAAATTACCCTAAATAACGTAGTAGAAATAGATA